CCTGTGGTCCCAGCTACTTGGGAGGTGGAGGCAGGAGACTCGCTTGAGCCCAGGAGTTGGAGGTTGCTGTGAGCTGTAATGCCACGGCATTCTACCCAGGGTGACAGCTTGAGGCTCTGTCTCAAAAAAAAGAAAAAAAGGTTGAGACACAATGATCTAGGTGAATCTCAAAAATACAACATTGAGTTAAAAAAGCAAGTTACAGAAATAGTGACATTATTTACATAAAGTTCAAAACATACAAAATAATGTATTATCTAAGAATATATCCATACGCAAACTATAATTTCAAAAAAATTCCAAATTAGAATGTATGACCATGTAGAAATCTAGGAGGTCTCAAGAAGTGCTAGCTATGGGCGTGGCACTCATAGCACAGTGGTTACGGTCAGCCACATGCACCTAGGTTGGCAGGTTTGAACCCAGCCCAGGCCAGCTAAACAACGACAACTGCAACAAAAAAATGCCAGGCATTATGGCGGTTGCCTGTAGTCCTAGCTACTTGGGAGGCTGAGGCAGGAAAATTACTTAGGCCCAAGAGTTTGAGGTTGCTGTGAGCTGTGACGCCATGGTACTCTACTAAGGGCCACATAGTGAGATTCTGTCTCAAAAAAAAAAAAAAGAAAGAAAGAAAGAAAAAGTGCTAGCTATGGTCTTTTCTTGGAATGGGACAGTAGATACACAGGTGTTCATTTTATTATTCCTTACTCCTTAGTTGTTTATATATTTTTATTTTTTATTTTTAAAAATTTTCTCTTTTAAGGGCAGCACCTGTGGCTCAATGAGTAGAGCACCAGCCCAATATACAGAGGGTAGTGGGTTCAAATCCGACCCCAGCCAAATTGCAATAAAAAATAGCGGGGCATTGTGGTAGGCACCTGTAGTCCCAGCTACTTGGGAGGCTGAGACAAGAGAATCACCTAAGTCCAAGAGCTGGAGGTTGTTAAAAGCTGTGATGCCACAGCACTCTACTGAGGGCAACAAAGTGAGACTTTGTCTCTTAAAAAAAAAATTTTCTCTTTTTAATTATTATTGGTACCTAATAGTTGTATATCTTCATGTATTTTTGGTAGTATAAAATGCTTCATAATTAAGAACTATTTAGAAACACACATATCAATTTACTATAAGTGAACTCTTAGCTTTGCTTAAACTATAGAAACAGCCTTTCTATTAATCATCATACGATATTATCTAAAATGTAGACTGTTAAAAACAAGAAAGGAATTAGCTGGGTCTAGTGCTGCTTGCTGTAGTCTCAGCTACTTGGGAGGCTGAGGCAGGAAGACTAATTGAGCCCAAAAGTTTGATGCTGTAAGTGCCAGGATCCGACCTGTGAACAGCCATGGCACTCCAGCCGGGGCAACAAAAACAACAGCCTACTTTTTTTTTTTTTTTTAAGAGAAAAGACTTTTAACACATAATAGCTCATACCCAGCCGCCTTGCTGAATGATGTATTCTGCTGAGTAGTCCTCCAGATACGTCACACCAAACTGCAGCAGTGCACTCAAAGGCTCTTGACCTCGTCTTGTCAGCTCCAAAAGCATTCGTTGTAGCAAGACCAGAGGCACCAAAATCTTCAATGCATCGATGAGAGAATAAAAAAGCCAAACTGAGATTCTTATAATGCATCTTATGTGTTTTGTAAAGGAAATAAAATGCTATCTCTTACTAGGATTTTCCTGAACATTACATGTAGGTTTTATAAATAGGGTAACAGATAGCTCAGCGCCTATGCTCAGTGGTTAGGGTGCTGGCCACATACACAGGGGCTGGCAGGTTTGAACCTGGCCTGGGTCTGCTAAACAACGACAACCACAGCAAAAAAATAGCCCAGCATTGCAGTGGGCACCTGTCATCCCGGCTACTTAGGAGGCTGAGGCAAGAGAATCACCAAAGCCCAAGAGTTAGAGGTTGCTATGAGCTGTGACGCCATGGCATTCTACGAGGGCAACATAGTGAGACTTTGTCTCAAAAAATAAATAAATAAATAAATAAACAGGGCGAAAGAAATCATTATTGAAAATAATTGGGCGTGTGTATGTGAAACAATTTATTCATCAGGAAATTCGCTGAAGCAAAAACTAGAAACTACCCAATGAATACTAAATACATTCTAGCTATCCAGTAAAAGATGTAGCTGTTAGAAAGAATTAGATTATTCACTACTGGCTCGGCGCCTGTGGCTCAAGTGG